TAGAGAGCTCATCAGCGTGGATGAGACCTTGATTTCACCTCCAGCGAAGCATAGATTGCTCATGGTGGCATATGCCTGCAACCCTGTCATTGGAGGAAACAGGAGAGCCGGGAGTTCAAGGCCGTCTTCATTTACATACAGAGTTGGAAGCCAGCCAGGTTACATGAGTACTTACTTGTCTCAGTTTAAAAAAAAAAAAAAAAAGATTAAAATGCAAGTAGGCTAAAGCCAGCATCACAATCCCACATGTGTTGAATGACAGGACCCAGACAGGTGTCACTATAATCTCCCCTCAGCTAGCACCGTTAGAAGTGTGACGTGGGAGCCCAGGCGCCCTTCTTTTTAGGGTTTTGCTTTTGAGACAGGGTCCAGCTATATATATATGTGTGTGTGTGTGTGTGTGTGTGTGTGTGTGTGTGTGTGTGTGTGTGTGAGCCTGTTCTGGAACCCACCATCTTCCTGCCTCTATCTGCCAAGCACTGGGATCACAGGTCAGCACACACCCCATTACCTGTAGTTGCCGATATCCAAACAGCCATGTTTATATATAGACTCATAAGATGGTCTGTAGGTACTGAGCCAGGTTGCTTCTTAATAAAATCAGGGTGTATTTTCCAGTTAGGAAAATATAAACCTACCTTATTCTAAGGGCTTCCCAGTACTGGCATAGCTGATGTTTACCTTCCCATCTATCCATCCACCCATCCATTCATCTCTCCACCCATCTGTCCAATCAACCAACCATTCATTTATCCACCCACCCATCCTCCCGTCTGTTCATTCACTGACCCATCCATCTGTCCATCCACCATCCACCCATCTGTCCGTCCACCCATCCATTCACCTACTCACTCACACACCCACCCATCTGTTTACTCACCCATCCAAATATTTACCCATCATTTACCACATTCACATTTATCCACCCATCCATCCACCCGCCCACATCTCCATTTTCTACCCACTCACTCACCCTTCCTTACCCATCCATCTACTTATCCATTCATGTATCCATCATCCACCCATAATCTGTCCCTCAATCCATCCTCCTACTTACTCATCCACACACCCATCCATCCATCCACCTGTCTATCCACTCACTTGTCTGACCTTCCTTCCTTTATTGGTTACAGCCTGCCGTATTGGATCCAGCCAGTCCTTATCTGTGAGTTCCACTATTCATTGAGAAAAGAATGCAGCATAATAAGACCCCACTCCCAAAAACCTGAGATAGGAATCCAGCCAATTCTCTTTCTCTGGAGGCTAGTGTGAGAACCCGAATTCTAATGTAGAGTGGTGGTGACACCCATGGTGGCCTGAGCTTTTGACTGAACATTTTTTTAGAACTGCCTGTTTTAATACTCAACCCGATTCTTGGAGGAAACTAAAGCACAGAGAGATTTACCTACCACTCGAGGGCCACACGGCAGGACATGAACCTGGAGAGTGAGGTGAGCCTGTGGAAGCTCGTTCCCTTGGGCTCCACTGTCCAATAGCTTGTATCTTTACACATGTTTCCCGCGTGCCTTAGGTTCCCCTTCTGATGGCGTTGAGTGGACTCACTTCCAGGCTGTACTCCAGCTCCTTGGGTAGTCATGCCCATTAGTGAAGGGTGAGGCCTCTGTCCTTTCTCCTGGGTCCATAAAGAACTCACCAGTCATAACCTATGTGATACCGTTCCGTGAACACTGCCGCCTTCTGGGTCAGTGTTTCCTCTGCCACAGATGCAGGGGCAGTCCAACTCTTGACAGTTCTTCCAGGAATTCCGTCTGTACCTCCCAAGGGTGAGCTCTGAAACCCAGCCAACGGCGTCCCTCCCCTTCTTCCTTGCCTCTCTGTCCGTTTTGTCTTTTCTGAGAGTCACTCTGTAGCCTGGGCTAGCCCCTATCTCAGACTCCCCAGTGCTCATCCAAGCAGTGATGCTCATGTGTGATTGAGCTCATGGAGTGAGAGGCTGGACGAGAGGGACACCCCTTACTGGGTCCCACGCGGCCCTCTGGCTCAGCATTCACGCTGCAGTCAGTGACCAAGGTTGGGACCCACAGAGCCTGGCTGTGCAGCCTAGGTCTCTGTCAATGACCTTGGGCCCGTCTTTGGCATAAACTTGAGGATAACCCCTGACTAGTTCTGTCTGGACCTTCGCACACTGCAGAGCTGAGTATTGATAGCTTCTGGCCAGGTGCCTTTGGTGTCTGTTTGGTCACCATTTCTCCTGGAGTGACTTCTCCTGGTCTCTCAGCAGTCATTACACATAATAATATTTTTGTATATACCATTATGGCTATTGTTTTCCTTTATAGTGTGGTAAATAGACAGCCAAGACTTGTCACCTGGTCCCTTGCTTTGGGATCTAAGACCAGGAAGAATGGCTATACTCACCTTCCTCTGTTACCTGTGTGTGTGTGTGTGTGTGTGTGTGTGTGTGTGTGTGTGTGTGTGTGTGTGTGTGTGCGCCATGGTAGCAGCCAGAGGACGACTTTGGGTGACCTGATTATCACATTCTACCTTATTGTTTTGTCTGGGGCGTCTCACTGAGCCTAGAGCTGGACTGGCAGCTGGTGAGCCTCAGAGACCGCCCTGTATTCTTTCCTACAGCACTGGGGTGACAGGCACAAGTGTGGCCATACCTGCCCTTTCATGTGGCTGCTAGAGTCCAAGTTCAGAATTGTACCTCATTGAACCACAAAGCCAAGACCGAACCCCTGCTGCTACCTAGCACTCCAGCTTATCCCTTGCTGCAAGAACCTCCAATCACACCTGCTTTGTAGCAATTGTTAGGTTGTGGGGTTTTTTTTTGTTTTTTTTTGTTTTTTTTGCTTGGGGGGGGGGGAGTGTTCCTAGTCCAGTAAGTTCAAAGTTCAAACGTTGCTCACAGCCCACATCTTTCTGGCCAACCCTCAGAGTTGGGGGCCCTAAGTGATTACAGCAGACACTGACAGCTTGCTCCAGCAAGAAGGCCAGATGTTAGGGTGTGCTCTGTCTCGCAGCCCACTGTAGTGAGCATGCTGGACCCTCTGCCATGTCAAGGAAACCTTGCACTTTGACTCAGCATTTTCCTAGCGTTTACTAGCTCCGAGAATGTTCCCTTTCTCATAAAACTATTTAATATCCTTCAGCATTCACGCTCCACAAACACCCTGGAAGCCCTCATGGAAATGTTTTGTTTCAGTGAAGACTGCCCAGCGGTCAGTGGAGGTGGTCAGGAGAGAAGTCTATAGTTTGAAAATAAAGAGTTTTGTTTGCTGGCGGAATCATCGGCCCTCTGCCCCTGAGGAGAGGCCACTGCTGAGCAAAGTGGTCTCGTTGCTGTCGTGACTCACATGGGAGCATGGAGTGGGCTTAGGGTTCCCTCCCCTCCTGGTGACCCATGAGGCAGGCACCCTCAAGCCACCTGTCCTGTCCTGATTTAGAGTGGGTTCTTAGACGAGGGGACATTGGTGACAAGCCAGGACCATAACGAGGCTTCAGAGACAGCCACGGGACTGGGGACCTTTTGGAAATAGACAAATGTGATTAGGTGCCATGGAGGACAGAGACTTGATTCTAAGAAAGAGAAATGGCCGTTTGGAGTAGATTATGGTGGTGGAGTGTGTGGTCCCTCCAAGTTGTTTTGGCTTGTTTACACCTAAGTTTTCTCCTGTAAAAACCATTTGAATGTGTGGATGCACACACTCCCCCACCCCATCCCCGCTCTCTCAAACACACATAACACGCACCTCTCAAGCACACACTATCTCTCACACACTGTCTCTCACACACACAACTCTCTCACACACAACTCACACACACAACTCTCTCATACACAACTCACACACAACTCACACACACAACTCTCTCTCACACACAACTCTCTCATACACAACTCACACACAACTCACACACACAACTCTCTCACACACAACTCTCACACACAACTCTCACACACAACTCACACACACAACTCACACACAACTCTCACACACACAACTCTCACACACAACTCACACACAACTCACACACACAACTCTCTCACACACAACTCTCTCACACACACAACTCTCTCACACACAACTCACACACAACTCACACACACAACTCTCTCTCACACACACAACTCTCTCTCACACACAACTCTCACACACAACTCTCTCATACACAACTCTCTCACACACAACTCACACACACACAACTCTCACACACACAACTCTCTCTCACACACAACTCACACACAACTCACACACACAACTCTCTCACACACAACTCTCTCACACACAACTCTCTCATACACAACTCTCTCACACACAACTCTCACACACAACTCACACACAACTCACACACACAACTCTCTCACACACAACTCTCACACACAACTCTCTCTCACACACAACTCTCACACACAACTCTCTCTCACACACAACTCTCTCACACACACAACTCTCACACACAACTCTCATACACAACTCACACACACAACTCTCTCACACACACAACTCACACACAACTCTCGCACACACAACTCACACACAACTCTCACACACAACTCTCTCTCACACACAACTCACACACACACAACTCACACACGCACAACTCTCACACACAACTCACACACACAACTCTCTCACATACACAACTCACACACACAACTCTCACACACACAACTCTCTCATACACACAACTCACACACAACTCTCACATACAACTCTCTCTCACACACAACTCTCACACACACAACTCTCTCATACACATAACTGTGTCACACACACAACTCTCACACACACTACTCTCTCACACACATAACTGTGTCACACATACACAACTCTTTTCACACACACAATCCTCTCTCGCATATACACATCCTCACACATGTACATACATTCCCTCCCTCCCTATCCCTCACCACACGCATGCCTGCACACGGACACACCTGACTAAAGGGATATGAAGGAGAGTGTGGGTCATGGCTCTGTCTTACGTTGTTGACTTCTGGTTCCTTCAAAGGCTGTTGTTTTTGTATTTTCCAGATGGGCAGCAGGTTTGGGAGATGGAAGCCACAGTGGATAAAGACAAGAGCCAGCCTGTAAGCCCCCAAGATGCCCCCAGAGCTCAGAGTCCCTGATGAGGTCTTTGTCCCCTGTCCCTCCTCCCTCCCCCCTCTGTCTCTCCTTCCCACTCTCCCTCCTCCCCCCTCCTGCCCTCGCCCCCACAGTGAACTTCTTAGTTACTCAGCAAGTACAAACTGCACTTAGTGAGCTGGCCACCTAGGGAGCCCTGGGCCCTCTGGTTTGTGACCATGACATCTTCACAGTCTTTTCTAGACCAACTTTCCTTGCTGGGATAAAAAGCTAAATTCCCTTCGATCATATTGCTCTGTAAATGTGGGGAACAAAGCCAGATGGCCTGCTATGGGTGGGCCTGGGCAGATTTGGTTGGGATCTGGGTAGGAATCCTGTGTTGCTGTATGTGGTCAAGTTCACGACAACTGCTTCCTTCTAGAACATGCTTTTTGTTGAGATCCCTGAGTATCAGAACAAGCACATCCGAGTACCCGTGAAAGTGAACTTCTACGTCATCAACGGGAAGAGAAAACGAAGTCAGCCACAGCACTTTACCTACCACCCAGGTGAGACATTCTCCCTGACTCCCCAGGTTCACAGACAGCACTGGCCAGGGCTCTGGATGCCCAAGGTCTGCTCCCAGCTGGGTTACCCCTCTGAGCCTCGGCTTTCTCTTGTGTTGGAAGGCACGTCCCTGTGTGAGCCACTGATGCCAGGTGCCAGCTGCCATTGTCAGCCACGTTGTCCTTGGTACTGGGTACAGACATTTGCAGACAGACAACAAGCAGACATCTCTTGCTGCTCCTCCCTGTCTTAGGTTTGAGCACATTCAGGGTCAAGGAGGACATGCTCTGGAACTCCCAGGGTCCTTGACTGTCCCCACACGGATGCAGCCACCTGAGTGAGGCACACCCAGGCACACCCAGACCAGAAGGTCTCATTCATGAAATTCTATATGCCCGAGAAAGCGGAACTATCCTCATAGAGTGCTTCCAGTGACAACTCCAAGACAACTGATAGATTAAGTAACTCTAGCAGAATAAATTGACTCACCCTTGGGAAAGCCCCCACCTACACACCCCTTCAGGCTAGGGAAGGCCCACTGGCGTATAAACCCGTAATCCCTGCCCTGAAACCTCCAGTGCCACACTGTCCCTGACTGGTCCACACATGTGGCCTTGATGGACTCAATTTCAGCGGGGTGCATGGTAGAGGTGTGTGGTTCCTATGAGGGTGCCACCGTGGGGACTGATGTGACATGCTGTCAGGAGCAGAGGGGCATTCCATGGGTCCCAGTGCTGCAGGGGGAACCTCGTACAAGCTCTGCATGCGTAGCAGCTCCTTCCGCAGGGAGGCGGTTGTCTCCCCTCGTCTGCAGTAGTGAGACCTCCCCGGGCTGAGCATCAGCCTTCCGCTGGTGGAATGGAGCCCCAGCAAGGTCCACCCCTCAGGCCTCTAGCTGTCCAGAACTGAGGCGCTGCCCTTTGAATGGCATTTGCAGAAGTGGTCTTGGGGACCTGGAGTCGGAATTGTAGTCCTGCTGGCTTCCTCCAGCCCTGACTCTCGGGAGGCTGTTCCATTCACTCTTGGTGACAGTGGTCTCTCTCATTTGAGTAGCTGTCCCCCCTCCCTAACCTGGTGACGCTTAGGGAGGATGTTTGGAAGGTGTCACCTGCTTTTCTCCTTGCTATGAACGGTGCCTGACAAAAGCAATATAAAGGGCAAAGGTTTTATTTTGACATTTAGAGGGGGTACCACCTTTCCCGGAGGTATGACAGCAGGGGCCGGAGGTGGCTGGTCACATGTATCACAGCCAGGAAAGAGCGAGATGGATGCTTTTTCTTCAGTCTAGGACCCAGCCCATGGGATGTTGCTGCCTCGTCCAGGGTGGGCCTTCACGCTCACCCCATGTAGAAACTCCTTCAGACACACCCAGAGGCGTGTCTCCCAGGTGACTCTAGATCCTGCCAAGAAGGCAGTGAAAATTGAACATCACTGACTGTGTGGACGGAGGAAACACAGCAGGGAGATGATGGGGACACGTGGGTCGAGGGGAGGGGGTCACCACACACTTTCTCCTCTCAGCTCCCGCCTTGGGGGATAAGGCTGCGCAGCTTCCTCTCCCCATCCACAGCTGGGAAGGGCTGTATTTCAAGGGCAATGCCAAGGTCAGCTTTCACAATTGCAGGGGGGCATCTGGTGGCCCAAGGCTAACGAGTGACAGACCAGCCATGCCCCCACCCTCTGGGCCCCAAAGCCAGGCTTCCAGCCGCTGTTCTCCTCGACACACACTCAAGGGTAGCCATGATTGCCGCAGCTTTTCTCTCCCACAGTCCCTGCCATCAAGACGGAGCCCAATGACGAGTATGACCCATCTCTGATCTGCAGCCCTGCCCATGGAGGCCTGGGGCCCCAGCCATATTACCCACAGCACCCAATGCTGGCCGAGTCCCCCTCCTGCCTTGTGGCTACCATGGCCCCCTGCCAACAGTTCCGCTCAGGGCTCTCATCCCCTGATGCCCGCTACCAGCAGCAGAGCCCTGCGGCAGCTCTCTACCAGAGGAACAAGAGCCTGAGCCCGGGTCTACTGGGCTACCAGCAGCCGGCCCTCCTGGCAGCGCCCTTGGGTCTGGCTGACGCCCACCGCTCTGTGCTGGTGCATGCCGGATCTCAGGGCCAGGGCCAGGGCTCCACCCTGCCACACACATCCTCGGCCAGCCAGCAGGCCTCCCCCGTGATTCACTACTCACCCACCAACCAGCAGCTTCGTGGCGGGGGGCACCAGGAGTTTCAGCATATCATGTACTGTGAGAACTTTGGCCCCAGCTCTGCCAGGCCTGGCCCTCCTCCCGTCAACCAAGGCCAGAGGCTGAGCCCAGGCTCCTACCCCACAGTCATCCAACAACAGACTGCCCTGAGCCAAAGAGCTACCAAAAACGGACCCCCAGTCAGTGACCAGAAGGACGCTGTGCCCACTGGAGTGACAGTCAAACAGGAACAGAATCTGGACCAGACCTACCTGGATGACGGTAAGAAGCTGTGCCTGCTCAGGGTCCCCATTCCGAAAGACCCCCCCTCCCCAGACAGCCCAGTGCACCCTGCCACCTCCTTGGGCCTTAGTATTTCCATTTTAAGTTGCGGGCTGATAGAAGATAACCTTTAGTATCACACATGCCCCGTGTCCCTGCGGGAGCTTGGGAGTGAGTGCCAGCAGCCACAGGTGTCCTCTCCCACCCCTCTAATAGAAAAGGCCAGTGAAGGGAGTTCTGGCCCCTGGAGTGTCCCCTGAGGTCATGAACTGGGTCCGTTTCACCGCTTCCATAGTCTTTTAGTGGCCAGAGTTAGATGGACGACAGGAAAGCAGAAGGGTGGGAGACTCCTTCCTTTCCTGTGGAGGAAAGCCCCACTTTGTGGCCCTCTTCTGCGCATGGGGGAGGGGCCGAGAGTGAGGAGGGAGCATAGCTTTGAAAGGGGCTCTATCCGGAGCATGAATGGGGGCTGCTGGCGGCTCTGGCACGTGCTGCCTGGACACAGAGACCATTGATGGGGGGTAGCCATGGGTTTCCGCTGGGACGAGCTCTGCTGATGGCAAGGAGGGGATGGAAGGAGGCTTTGTGTGAAGGTACCCGCAGCTTGTGGGCACATGGCCTGCACAGAGACATGGCTTGTCAGAGCAGCTGAGGCAGGGGTTGGTTGGGCTCTCAGAGGAAGGCCACACTCACCTGAAGGCAGAGGGGCCGGAGCGGGTAGAAAAGACTTCTCTCCCCTTTGAGGCTCCAGGAGATCAGAAATCTGGGATGGTGGTTTCTAAAGTGGAGAAAGGAACACCAAATGGTGAGCTGCTCCCAACCCCCGGCCCCAGCTCGCAGTTCATGCACAGTAGCAACTGATACACAGTGGAGTGTCCCACACCCAGAGCATCCAGGACCAAAGGTGGTCTGGATTTGGGGATATCCTGTAACGCTGTATTGCCTCCCTAACCCCCTAATCTGAAATCTGGAGACATGCAGAATCTGAAACTTCCTGAGATCATTTTGACACTCAAGTTGGGATCTTAGAGCATTTTAGATTTTTGGATTGGGGATGTCCAACTTACCTACCCCTTAAAGTTGGCCCCAGGGGCCCAACAGGAAGGAAGGTGGGGAGCTCTAGAATAGGTGCTGTGGTTACCATGGAGACCCAGGACTGATTGCAGACACGTGGGTGACAGGAAATTATGCTGTTTGCCCAGAGTCTTTGAAGTCCTGTCCAGCCTGGCTACCCGGGTGTTCTGAGACTTCTGACAGCATCTGTCAGCAAAGATCTCATCTCTGCGATGGAATTATCACCCACAGTCAAACCTCTTCGAGCAAAGATCTTTTGGGACAATTAATAAAGTGTTGCCTTGCGTGCCTGGGCAGACCAACCTGCTAACAATGCGAAGGAGCCTGGGGGTCAAGTGCAGCAGGGAGGGACTGCTCTGAGATGGCCTGGGCACACTCCGTCCGTGAATGTTACACATTGGATGACTGCCAGTCTTGCTGATTGCTGTAAAGAGTTGTCAACAGAGCCAATGGTAGCAGTTCCCAGAGCCCTGAGTGTAACTGGCCTCACTCCACGTAGAGGCAGGTGACTGACCCCGTAGGAGGCAAGGTGCTTTAGGGATTCGTGTCTGAACAGGGCAGGTGTTTCCCAGCAGCCTCTGGGAAGGGTTGGTATGGTCTCTGGGAGCAGAGAGGTGTGGGCCCGTCCCATCCTACCATCATCTTGCATTAAAGACGAATGCTAGTCACCTCAGCTACAGAACTGCAGGTAGACGCCTCGGTGCGTCAGAGGAGGTCACCCGGTCCGCCACAGCCATACATGTACACATGGGGTGGCTCCTGTTACAGAGGAAGCAGCTGGGTTTGGGGGCCCTATGGGGCCTTTGGAGGTGGCTTTCTAGGTACAGGCAGGCTCACAGGTGTGTTGGGGTGAGCTCCCCTCACCCAACATGATCCAGCCCTCAGACGTGGAGAGATTTCAGCACAGATGGCTTCCACTGCAGCCTCTTCACAGTGTTTGTGACCACCCCTCCCCCACAACTGGGAAGGATCCTGTGTAGGAAGGGTTCTGTGGATTTCGAAGGTGAAAAGGTTGGGTTGTTGCAGAACTTCTCAGAGCCTTGACTGTCCTGGTTGACATTAAAAAAAAAAAAAAAAAAAAAAAAAAAAAAAAATCTGTAAGGCCAGGAGGTGCCCTAGCACTTCCTAGACAGCAATGCGCTACACACTTTGAGGACAGTCCTTCCGCCGTCTCTGTCCTCTGTCAGCCTAGAGGACACCCTGTCCTAGAGGTGTGGCCTGGCCCACAGCAGGTCTGGTCCTGCAGCCCAGCTGGTCCCTCAAATACTATGCTCAGGCTTCTCCATTTATGCCTTGTCTCCCTGGGTTGAGCCATGTGTCCCCAAGGCAGCAAGGTGTCCCTGGCCAGTTCATTTGGTGCTTGGCTTGCTGTGTACCCAAAGCTCTGCTTGGTGTGGCCTGCTGTGCTCCAGAGTGAACTCAGAAAATGTGGGTGCAGTTTGTCCCTTGGTTGCCAGGGCTTCGGGTCCTCGGGAGAGGCCTGGCTGGCCCTGTACGCAGGACCCTGCACACCTCCTCGGTGGTATGGGGTTCTTGATCTGTTGTTTGGGGTTTAAAGCAGACAGATAGACTCAAGACATGCTTCTATCTGCCTGAGGGTGACTGGGTTTCAGGTCCTTTCAGTTGTCATTAAAAAGGGTCCCTCTCCCTAAAGCCAGAGCTGGCACCCCAGAACATAGGCCACACACTGGCAATGTGTGAGCAGGAGACAGCAGACATGAGTCTCTGCACAAAGGCAAATATTGACCTTGGAAGTTTGCCCAGCCTCTCCCCTGGGTCCAAGGAGCTCCACACCCCAGTGTCTCCAAGCTTGTCGTGTGACCAAGTGCCTTGCTGTGTGTCCCTCTTCTGCATGCTCTTGCCTGTTTTGAGCCTGCTCCTTATAGGGCCTGTTCATCTGCTTTTCTTACTCTGGTGGTTAAAGATGCTGGCAAAAGTCTCCTTGAAAGGGGAAATGAGTGACATTCTGGGTGCGGCAGGTCCCCTTCCTCTGCGCTTGACATGTCGTCTGTGACACTGACCTGATTCGTCCTGGCTCATGGACCTACTGTCTCCCTAAAGCCTCAGATTGTACCTGGGCAGTTCAGGCTGCATAAGGCAGCTGGTCCAGCAACCGAGTCCCTCCCCCATCCCTTCTCCATGCCCTTGAGCTCCCCCTGCCTTTACACTTCATCCACCTTGGTCCTTGGCCTCTGATCTCCCCCACCGTTCATGCCCAGACCCCCAAGTATTTGCTGGCTGCTTCCTGAGCCAGGCACTGTCCTAGGCTTTTGTGGGAGGGATAAGAAACAAAGCCTTGGCTTGGGGCAGCTGGAGGATGGCACTGCCTCGGGAAGATCTGAAGGAAGAGCATTTGGGGGTGGGGTGGGGACAGCAGGTGATGGTGACTCTGAGGTCAGAGCAGCAGGTGGGGTTAGGGGTTCTCTGCAGCAATGCTCTGGGTATTTTTTGGAGAAGGTGGCTCTGGCTGCCTTTGAGAAACAGACGTGAGGGAGGCAAGAATTGGAAGGAGACAGTCAAGTTGTTTCCAGGGCAACCACAAGTTTATAGTTACCTCCCTTATCTTCAGTTTCAGGTTCTTCTGTTCAACTTCAGTCCAAAATATTAAGTGGAAAATTCTGGAAAGAAATAGTTTTACACAATCACAATTTTTCCTATAGTAGTTTTTTGGGGTTTTTTGTTTTTGTTTTTGTTTTGTTTTGTTTTATTGTTAGTGGTTTAGTTTTCATGGGTTTGTACACTTAGATAACACCCAGTATTCATAGGGCCCAGTAGGATCTGCAGTCTGAGAATCTCGGAGTGTGGGCCTGGGGATACTCACGCATTTTAGACACAGCTGGCTTTGGTGAAGGTGACTCTCTAGCAGGAAGGAGATGATGTAGCATCTTTCCCCAAGTTGGGTTGTTCGAGATGTGTCTAGAAGTGCCAAAGTAGGACAAGAGTGTTGTCACCTCCGCCACCTCCTTAGTGTGAATGCAGTGTGGCTGTGGTTGTGTGCCTGGATGCAGGCCCTTGGGAGTGATGCCAGAGAAGGGGGACTCAGAGGTGACTATCTGTCACCTGTGACTCTCACCATTGATGACTCCTCCTGGGAGCCATGTTGAGGCCACAGCTGAACTGTGGTTTGAGGGTCATCAGGCCAACTCACCACCAAGTCCGCCACAGGCCCTGGGGGCATGGGTGTGCCCTTGGGTCTCAGCCACAGGGAGACTGTGGGGGCGCAACTCAACAGGCATCCTAGATGTCTTTCTCCCTCCTGAGGAGAGAGGATGTGGTCTGGTGCCAGCTGGAGCCTGGAGGTGACCTGGGGGGACAGCCTACATTGTGCTTGCGTGTGAGCAAACGTCTATGGGTGTGGAAGCCCTGTTTTGAAAGCTGTTCAGCTCTTGTTCTTTATAGGAAATGCATGAACTGTCAACACTGCCTGGATGAAAACAGTATTCCCTGCTACATTTAAATATTGAGCTGTACTAACACCCACCCCCAAATCAATAGTGTAGTGTTACAAGTGGGCCACCCCCAAATTACAGCCTGGATCTTCACAGAATGCTCTGTGTGTGGGGGTGTGTACTGGGGCACGTGCTAGGCAAGTGCTCTACCCCTGGGCTATGTCCCCTGTCCCTCTTTCTACTTTTGATGTCGTTTTCTTAGTCTCAGACTGTGTTTATGTAGCACAGCCCGGCACAGTATGAGAACCTTCCCTTGAAAAGGGCATTGCCAGTGCCTCGGGGACAGTGTCGTTCACCTTGGGAACTTCTGCCTTGGGTCCTGGACCGTGAACCCAGCTAATCCGAGTCCCTCACCTTCTACAGAAGGAATAGCACACACACCCCTGTGCTCGGGCGCTGTGAGATCACTCGCTGTCATGAACATGGAGGACAGGGTGTCTTACACGTCTGCCCATGGCAAGCAGGGCCAGTTGTGGA